AATGGGTTGACCATAAAAATGCATATTATACCTAACTAACTGAATTTGCTATATTATATAACAGAGAATATTCAATGCTATAATAAGATTACGTGATTGATATAATAGGGTGCAGTATAAATTCAGCCAATATTATTTTACAATTTCAGCCAAATCTTTGAGTATAATAACTCAGCATTCAAGCTAACCTGAAACTGGTGAACTAATAAAAATACTCTAGTTCTCTGCCAGTTTTATAATAATTTTAGGATATTATCAATTCACCATCATGGTATCAAACTGGATCCTTAAATCATATGTTCAAAAGATTAGCTGAAATTAATCACGAATTTACTATGCCACCTGTTACAATATTTTTTACCACATTTTGGTACTAAAAAGGCAACTAAATAAGTGCAAATTCTTAATAAAGAACTAATATCTAAACTAACATAAAGGACTGGTATCCTCATTATAGAACTAAGTATTCAAGAAGACTGGAAAGCCAGAACTAACAATATAGATTTTATTATGTAAATGGACTAGGAATAAGAAGAAAGCAGTCACTATTAGATTATAATATCACTATTAAATTAAAATATTATCAGTTACTATTGGACTATAAAATTACTATCATATTATATGAAAAACAGATGAAACAATATTATAAACGCAAAGGAGCTATTATATGTAAGTTATAAAATCATTATTAGAGTATAAATAGTAGATTATGAAGTTGTCACCAGATCATAAAATTAGATATAATATCACCATTATATTATAATGTTACTATTATATTATAAAGTTATTAACAGATTATGAAGTTGTCTTTATAACTTAAGCTAAGTCGCATGTAACTTCATAATATAATTATATTATAAAGTCATATATAATTAATAATATTATTAGTATATTATTTATATAATAATAATTTATTTTTATTATTAATTTTATTACTTTAAACATATTGTAAACAAATTTATCTACAATTTTATTTAATAATTAAAATTATTTATAATAATTTTAAATATTTTAAAATAACTTATTTAAAAATTAATATATTTATAATAAATTTTGATATTTTTTAAGTAAAAATTAAAAAAAAAAAATATAATTAATTAGTAATATTTTAAAAATAAATATATAATAAATTATCAAAAAAATTAAATTTTTAAACAAATATATCTTACTATTTATTAATTTCAGAAATATAAAAATATAATCATTTAATAGGTTTTAATAAAATGTATTTAATAAATTAAATTTTATTTTTTTGTAATTATTATATAATAAATTATTTTAAAAAATTAAAAAATTGATATATATATTAATAATTATTAATTTTAAAAATTTTAAAAATATTATTAAATACATCTTAATATAATAAATCTAATAAATTTTATTTCATTTTTTTATAATTACTAAATATTAAAATATTATAATTTTTCTATAATATTTTATAATTAATTTTATACTTATGATTTAAAAGATAAATAAATAATAATATATATTCTAAAAATAAATCTAATTGTAACAGCTATTACATGTAATAACTTATTAAAAAAATCAATAAAATAGCTTTTTTTATTTATAATATAAATATCAAATATCAAATTTTATTAGTATTTTAGTAAGTTATTATATATAATAGTTATTAAAAATACATTTATTCTATTCTAAATCTACATATTTCAAATTCTTATTATTTTAATAAATAATTAAATAATAATATAAATAATTAAAAAAAATATTATCTAAATTTATTTATTAATTTTCTTCTTAACTACATATTAATAGATTAAAAAAAACTTTTTTTAAATTAAATAATTTCTAATATAATTAGTTAATTACTTCATAAGAAGTATTATTAATAAAGTTAATAATTATTTTTATTTCATAAATATAATTAAGTTAAAAAATAAAACCTGAATTTTTTTGAATTATAATAATTATAAAGTTAGCTTTATTAAGTATAATAAAATTTTTTATTTCTAAATATATAGAATATAATATATTATTATTACATTATTACTATTAAAAACATTTAAATGCTATTTTTACTATGAAATATATATTATTTACATTTACTCATTATTATAAAAGATTTTAAAGAATAATAATTTTAAGAAATAAGAGATTTTAATAAAAAATAATTTATATATTACAATTATCATTACTGATATTAGTAAATTACCAAATTTTTTAATTTTATAAATAGATTATGAATTAATTATATTAGTAATTTAGGTTTTTTAGCTAATAATTATAATATTTATTAATATTAAAATAAATTGTAAAATATATTTAAAAAAAAAAATTTAATAAATTTAATAATAGATATCTTTTTTAATTTACAATATATATTCTTTTTTAATTGTATAATATTCATTTAACTTTAGATTTGATAATTATATGATTAATCATAATCCTGTTTTTCTTTTTATTTACCCAAGTATGATTATTATTAAATGTTAGATTTAATTCTAATTCTAAAAAATCTTTTATACTATATTTCTTTACAAATTACATTTGCTATATATTAAGAAGAACATTATGACTTTAAAATATACAAGAATAATCACATTAAGAGGATCTAAACTCATTATTATATAATTCTCATAATAATATGAACTATTTTTAGATACCAAATGTCTGATAAAAACCCTACTGATACTAAAAGAGATGATTATCATTTTTTAAGATTGTTATTCATTTATTCCTTATAAGGAACATCATTTTATTACTTTATGTAGTAAATGTAAAAAGCACATTTTGCAGTTTTATCAGTTTATAGTATCTGTAAAAAAAAAGTTATGAACGAAATTATAAATAATATTTGTTAATTAAATAAATAAATTTAATAAATTTTTTTTATAAATGTGAATGATTTAAAAAGATAACGTAATAAAAGATAATGAAAAATCTATTGAGAATGATTTAAAAAGAACATTGTGAGCGCGGTAATCTCAAAAAAGAACTCCGTTATGTCCGTTATGTCCGCCATGTCCGAATTGGTGATTGGATCAAAGTCTTAAATTAATTTTATTGAAATAAGAAATGATACTCAATGAAACAAGCACATGATTTATTTGTTTACTATTTTATCAAAGTCATTGTGTTTCGTCTTACCCAAAAAAGGGGCGTCATCCCAAACCCAAAAAGTATTCAAATTTTTAAGCCACGCCGGAAAATCGTAAATCAATTTGAGTTGCCCGGATCATATGATATTCTGGACTCTTAAGAAAAAATAATTGTTAAGATTTAAGGGTTATTACAGCATTTTCAACGATTCATATGACAAAATTGTAATATAATGAAAAGGTATTTGTTTGGACGCGAAAGGAACCTAACATACAGTATTTTCCAATATTTTCCAAAAGAATATTTCATTAACATGTTAATTACTTTACAATTATAATTAAGTTCTTTTACCATTCTTTACTCGATCAGGTAAAGCCATTTAATTTGAGCTTCAGCTATTAAAGAATTGTGTTACATAAACATGGCAGGAGGTCAAAATAGAGATTTCCATTCAATGGTTCGGTTGTAAGTTTAGTACCTTTTTTTAATTTAACTAGGGGACGAGTACCGTTATTAAGTCCGGAGCGATCTGACCGACTTTTGCAAAAAATTGATTTCTGTTAACGTAGGAATTCGATTTAACGTTGGAAAGTTTAAAACAAATGATAAAGTGAACATAACAATAAAAACATACGATCGAACTGAAATTTTAATTCGTTTCGGCGGATTGTTTTACCTAATAGTATACTTACTTGGCAATAGTTGTGTTGTGATGAATACTCTTACGAAAATGGTAGAGAATCGGTTAACAAAAATAAATTGGCAATGTTTATGATATGTGAGGTGGAAACTCCTAGTTGAGAAAGATTAGAAAATGTTTGTTAATTGTAAGTTTTGATAATATTGAAACTTTGTTTTAATTGAATTGTATTGTTAAATCTTTTTGGTGACCAATCAAAATCTTCAATTTCTCAATTTAAAAAAATTTGATTTTATTTAATTCGGAATCGAAACAATAATTACAACCTTCTAATAATTTATACAAGGAATACTAAGGCTTGTCCTGAAACGAATGATAAATATAAAAGAAAGTGTCTTATACTAATAAAGAATTTGCGTTAAATCCGGAGCGATCTTAAAATAATAAATTTTTTGTCAATCGACTCTATTATTGTCCTTTGAGACTAACCATTGTTAAGTCCATAGCACAAGTGTAACGAAAGGGACCAATCACGTATCGACTCAAATTTCGAGCGGGCTACACTTTTGCTACGCTCCGGGACCGTTGTTAAGCCCGGAACGATCTTAACTAAAAAGATATTTGCTTTTATCTAGACTTTTGTGCAATTACAAAAGCTATTTAATTATTGAGCGGGATAGAAAATATAGTCCCGGACTAATAAATATAAAAAAATAATAAGCTTCAGCCATAACGATTGTTTGAAATCTATTAGATTTCTGTTAAAAAGTTTCTCACGCATCAATTAACAAACAAGATGCAAAGTTAAGACTCAATTTTTTTTGTTTACAAACATTCCGAAAATCTTTTGGAGTTAACGGCGCGGTACATTTCATTTTTTAAAAAACAACTCGGGTACATGTCACTCACTTCATAACAAGGAAAAGATTTTTTTTTAAAAAAAAATTAAATTGTTTATTCAAAGAACCTTACTCTTTTCATTCCGGTTTGGGTTTGAAGTGATGACAAAAAAGGGTGGTATTGTTGGGATGTGTAAAAGTTTGAATCTAAATCCTATGAAAGTAAAAAAGAAAGAAAGAAATGTTCAAAGGAAGGGGAAAAGAATTAATGCTAAATAGAAAAAATATAACAATGGAAAAATTGAAATTATCTCTTCTTTTAATAAAGCAGACATACGAAGAATTTTTAATGTTCAAATATTGACAGGAATCTTTTTAAAAAAAAAAGAAAAAAAATTACAAGCTTTTGTGAACAAAAAAATTAAGCCGTGACAAAATTAAATCAATCAAACTTCCTTCATTTAACCCTGAACTTTACATTCTACCGCCTGGGGTTGCAACCTCAGAGTCTGTTTGAATTGAGCTACAGCTTGTTGATTTTCAGCAGTCGCCTCAGGTTCTGAAATGGCTTGAATGTGAGAATTTAAAACATTGGTCCATCGTTGATATATATCTTCTCCTATAAACAAATTGTAATCAATAAGTTCAAGGAAACGTCTTTCTATCGCATTTATCTCTTGAACGGGAAGTCCGCATATCTTTGACCAAGCATTATTTGCATAATTTCGATCTTGAAGATATTTTGATGCTATGATAAGAGATGCAAGGAACATACGACGTCCGCAAGTGGCTGGATCACTACCTTGATTATTATTATCTTTTGAGTTTAATGTCCAACGATCGGGATTAAGCCAAAGATAAAAGATTTGAGGCTTTATTCTTTTGAGATAGAATAAAGCTGTTTGAAGTGTCGACCAAGAAGTTCTCGATCGACGCAACGTTTCTTGAATAAAAATGCGAAGTGGGATGACTTGTGAATTAGAATGAACGGGAAAATTATACCAAATTTCATCAATAATTATCGCTGTCGTATCTATAAAATAAATTCTATTGATGAGATTCGAATAATCTGATTTTTTAAAAAAATGATCCTTATTCACCAAGAAATCACTTACCAACAAGGCTTTCCACCAAAATTATCTTTCGATTATTTTTACAATTATTGGTAGTGGTAGTATTAGTCTTGGTCTTATTTGGATACTTTGGATGCTTTGGATGATCACATGGTATTACATGACCAAATGTTCCTAATGATGGCTGATGTTGCATATTTTCCAGAAAATGGTTGTTATCTGTGGCGGAAATCATCCTCCCATTTTGGGCGTTTTCCGGAATCTTGTGAGTCACCATGCATACCTTCCCATTTGGGACTGCTACTGGGAGAGAAAACTATCTGGTTAGTTATCAGTGAAAAACCATTTACTAAAGGAACTATTAAAAAAAATTTCGGAAAGTTTTTTTTTTTAAAAAAAAAAAAGAAATTAAAACAAACCTTCTCTGAGTGGTATCTGAGTGACTGGAATTGAAGAGTATATTATATCTAACATGGTGTCTCAACAAAAAAATATATATAAGAGTAAGGTTCAAATGAATAAACAATAAAACATATAAAAAGAAGGTTCTGCAGTTAACGCAGAATTAATTTTTTTTTATTTTCTAGATTTTTTGAGGTTTAAGAGAGAGCTTTTAAGTTTCAAGCTTTATAAGTGGAAATATTTTAAAAATTTTGTGTCAAAGAATTTGAAATCTGACCCATATTTATATATGCCACAGTGTTTGACTCATATCTGCGGACGGGTTAGGCTAATTTTGCTTTGCCCCGGGTGACTCCGTTTTGATTATCATAAAGTCACCCAATAATTTAGTCTTATCACGTGTTATGACTTATACTTCATCAAGATATCTATACTGGTTTTTACTTCATTTGGGTACAAAAAAAAAAAAAAGGTTCTCTCAAAGCGTGCATAGAATGTCAAAGAAAAATCGATAGAATTGGATTCACAAATAATGAGTCACCTCATTTTATTCTGTTGTTTGGGAGCACAAAAAATTCCCAAGACATATATACAAACAGACAATCACACAAACAAAGCAATTTTCTGATTTCAATCTTGTCCTCCATAACTTGTAAGGTTACAACTTTTGAGGGCCTCTATTTTATTTGTCAACATAATAAAGAATTACAGGCAGGGGTTTATTATCCCTGTTTGAATAATAATTCCGGTCAGAGTCTCGAACAAAGGATCGAAAATGTCTATTTGTGGAAAATTTTAAAATAACCCAATTTGGCGCAGCAAATTGTATTGTTGTAATCTGATGATGCAATAATTTTTTGATTTCCTGCAATTCTTTACCAATTGTGTGAAAATAGCCATTTGCGGATTAATTTCAGCCGAGGAAAAATGTAATCAGCCGCAGTGTATTATTGTTCCGCAGCTACGACCAAAAATTATTGGTAAGAATGAACGCGAACGGAGTATATCCATTAATTGAATAGTCCTGACTAAATCTTACGCAGAATTACATTTGATATTCATAATAAGATAAATCAGCTTATTTTTAACAATTACTGTATTGACAGCTGATCGGGTGAAAATCGAGTGTTTCTCGTGTCATGTCATTATAGATATATTCGACAACAATTGTTTCTAATGCAAACACGTTCGAAAATACAACCATATTCTTTATTGAGATCCCCCCTACATCAGGAGCTTTTGCTGGCGTATATGGTATCAGGTATTATTTGTCATGATAAAGGCGTCATATGTAGGCGTAGTCCTTGCCTATCTGAGTTTAGGCACAATCTTGTGAAACCACAAAACAATTAAGAATGGGATGAGACCAAACTCTTAATTTGTGATTCAATATTGTTTTCTATTAAGGCAAAATCTTTCATTATTGAAAGTGATTTATACCTTAGTAATCAGAATATATGATTAAGGTTTCGATAAAACATTCGAGTGGCTCACATTTCGAAAAGTCTGGTTATATTTTCCAATGTCAATCAACATCATGTATGATTACTTAATCTTAGGGTATTTCAAGCGGCTATCACCTGTTCAATACCCGTTATATAAACAAATATCTACGAAACGTTTCTTACATATCGAGTAATCATTCCGATGCCGATCTCAAGTTCGGGTCAAAGATTCCTAATTTTGGTATATTACTTAAATTACATAATTGAAAATTTTTTTCAACTGTAAAATATTTAATACTTGAATTATATTAAAACTGAAATATTTACATTTTGGGATGAAAACTTTTACGTAGTAAAAGAAGTTAAAATGATAAGTTTATAATTTAAAATATAATAAATATTCAAAATTCAAAATTTTATTATTTATTAACCTTATTAATCTGAATTTAATTATTTTTAACTTATTAAATAAGAGAATTAAAAAAATTTTTTTAGTAATATCATTATGTTAGTAAAATTTATTTAATAATATACAAAAATATAATATAAAAGAAAATTTTACATATTAAAAAAAATTAATTAGGTTAATAATTCTTATTTAAATTTAATAATTTGACAAATTATTGTAATAATCAAAATAGTTGAAATTATTATTTTTTTAATAACTTAGTAACATTAATAAATATAATACATAAGTACTAACTAAAAAATAAAACTAATACCTTTGTAATATATTTTAATCTATTTGAAAATATTATTAATACTTTTTCTTTACTATTCAAAAATAACATATGCTATACTAAATAACTTTAATAAAAAAGTAAAGAAATTTTTTTTAAAAAAAATTTAAGAATTCTAAATTAGAAAACTTAATTAAAAATGTTTAAATAATAAAAAAAAAAGGAAAAAAAACAGGTTATAAAATAAATTAAACTAAAAAAATAACTATTTAATTTCCTTTACTAATTGATAGAACTTAAGAGATATTTATAGATTAATATATATATTTATGTTTTACTTTTGCAAAATCTGTTAGAGATAATATAAAGAAGAAAAAAATCAAATAAAATATTATTTAAATAATATAATTTAATTAATAAAAAAATTGTAAAAATAAATAATAAAAAAGAATGTAAAAGTAGTTTGACATTTTTTCTAAATATTAATTTAAATTGCTAATTTATAGAAAATATAACTTTCTGTTAAATTAGTATTTTAAGATTATTATAATAGTATAATATTTTCATAAATAATTTATGAGATTTGCAAAAAACTAAAATATTAATATTATCCCTTAAACTGTAAAGCAGGCAAATTTACCTGCGAACATAAAAAAAGTATTAATTTTTTAATAAAAAATAAAATATTAATATTAATAATATAATTATTATATAAAAAATAT